TGTGCACACACATTTGTGGTAGTCGGAGGACAACTTGTGAGAGTCAGTTCTCATCTTCCACCATGTGGGTCCCAGGAATTGAACTCAGGTTGTCAGACTTGGTGACCAGTGCTGAGCCATCTCACCAGCCCCTGGTTGGCTTGTGTGTATGTGTGGTGTATGTATGTGTTTGTATGGGTGCACACATATGTGCATGGAGGTGAGTGTGTGTGTGTGTGTAAATCAAAGATCAGCATTCAGTATCTTTACCAGTTGCTCTTCACTTTTTCTTATTTCTACTTTTTAAAAAAATTATATAAATGAGTGTATTGCCTGCATGTGTGTAAGTGTACTTGTGTAGTGCAATGCCTGTGGAGTTCAGAAGAGGGCATTGGATCCCCTGGATCTGGAGTTACAGATGTTAGCCACCATGTGAGTGCTGGGAACTGAACCTGGGTCTTCTGCAGGAGCAGCCAGTGCTCTTAACTGCCGAGCCATCTCTCCAGCCCATATTGTTTTCATCTTGTGGAAGAAATGCCTCTTAGAGTCTTGGGCCTCATCCAGTCTGGACCTGCTGCTTTACTCTTGGATTCCCCTTTGCTAGGATCTGGGGGACCCCCACTCCTTCTCACGAGCTGAGTTCTAGTTTCCTATACCCATGCCTTCCTTTTTCTTGTTGAACTCCTTCATTTTGGTGGACCATGTCTTCTTGAAGCCTTCTACGAGAAGGCACTACAGAAGAAAACTTCTAAAAAATTTTTATTTTTCTTTCATGTATGAATGCTTTGCCTACATATATGTAAGTGTACCCATGTGTGCAGTGCTGTGGAGGCCAGAGAGGGCATCATTTTCCCTGGAATTGTAGTTACAGGTGGTTAGAATCACCATGTGGGTACTGGGAACTGAACCTAGGTCCTCTGCAAGAACAGCAAGTGCTCTAACTACTAAGCCATCTCTCCAGTCCAAAGAAAACTTTTTTTGAGAGAGTCCATGTGTGAGAATATATTAATGACTCTACCTATCAGAAAAGAAAACAAGGGGCTGGAGAGATGACCCAGCAGTTAAGAGCACTGGCTGCTCTTGAAGAAGACCTGGGTTCACATCCTTGTACCCACATGGTGGCTAGCAATCTTAGGTAACTCCAGTTCTAGGGGATCCAACACCCTCTTCTGACCTCCACAGGTACTGCATGGCACTCATACATATAAAATAAAAATAAATAAAAATTTTAAAAAAGGAAACAAAATTCAAAGAAGATACTGTCATGATGGCTAATCTCCATTGATTAGATAGAGACTTGATTAGATTTTAGACTTGCCTAGGAGACACACTTCTGGGCTTGTCTATGGGAGCCTTTCCAGAGAGGTTTAACTGAGGGTGCCCACCTGAATGTGGGCTGGAGTCCTGGACTGAATAAAAAAGAGAGAGTAGGCAGGAGAGATAGTTCAGCAGGTCAAGGCGCTTGCTGCCAAGACTGATGACCTGAATTTGAACAGGGAAACCCACGTGGTGCAGAGAGCAGATTCTGGAAAGTTGTTCTTTGACACATGTGCCATATACTGTGAACATATGCATGCAAACTAAATAAATGAATAAACAAACAAGCAAGCAAACAAATGCAAAGAAAGAAAAGGAAAAAGTAAGCCGAGCATCAGTATCCACCTTTCCTTCTCCTTCCCCTCCTCTTCCTCCTCCCACCTCCTTCCTCATCCTCTTCTTTTTGAGACAGGGTCTCCCTGTAGCCCTAGCTTGTCTGGAACTCCCTGTGTAGACCAGGCTGGCCTGGATCTGCTTCTGCCTCCTGAGCACTGGTATTAAAGGAGTGTAACATTGCCGGGCGTGGTGGCACACGCCTTTAATCCCAGCACTGGGGAGGCAGAGGCAGGCCGATCTCTGTGAGTTCAAGGCCAGCCTGGTCTGCATAGTGAGTTCCAGGACAGCTGGGGCTACAGGGAAACCCTGTCTCAAAAAGACATAGATAAGTAAATAAATAAATAAATAAATAAATAAATAAATAATATTTTTAAAAAGAAGTGGGGGCTGGAGAGATTGCTCAACAGCTAAGAACACTGGCTATTGTATAGGACCTGGGTTCAGTTCCCAGCACCAACATGGCAGCCAACAACCATCCTTAACTCCAGTTGCAGGGTGTCTGATGCCTTCCTCTGGCCTCTTGTGGGTATTGCATGCATGGCTACACTAACATACATGCAGGTAAAACACTCATACACATAAAATTTAATAAAAAAGCCGGGTATGGCGGCATATGCCTTTAATCCCAGCACTCAGGAGGCAGAGGCGGGCAGATCTGTGAGTTCAAGTCCAGCCTGGTCTACATAGTGAGTTCCAGGCCAGCTGGGGCTATAGGGAGACCCTGTCTCAAGAAGATAAAAAAAAAAAAAGAATTAACAAAAACGAAGTGCAAAATCATTTTGATGAATCTTTGTAAATGTCTTCTTTTATCTTTCTGGAAATTTGCAGAATATTCTTAGTCTTTATTTTTCTGAAACTTTGCAATGATGTACCTTGGTGTGAAATTATTTTTGTATTTTGTCCTTGGAACCCACTGGGCCCTTTCAGTTCAGAATTTTATGTTCTTGTGTTCTGGTAATTGTATTGAATTATTTCACTGGTAATTTCTTCCCCTAAATTTTCTGTTTGCTGTTTCTAGAACTCTGGCATTTGGCGGTTTGTCTTCTTAGACTGGTCATTAATTCTTTATCTTTTCCTGTTGATTTTTTTCTTTTATCTTTCTAGACTACTTCTGGGAGATTAAAAACAATCTTCCACATATTGATTGTTTGATACCTGCCTTTGTATTTTTAATCTTCAAGGGCTCTTTTTCCTTCTCCGACAGCACTCCACTTTCAGCCCCTTCTTGATTTATTGGCGCAGCATGTCCTTTATCTCTTTAGAAGGTTAATGAGTTTATCTTCTCCCTGGTGCCTTTTCCTTTGGATTGTTTTGTTTGCTCTCTTTCATGCTAATAGCTTTCTTTAGATGTATCATGATCCTAGATTTTCTGCAGTGGAGGCCAGGGCCCATGAGTGGAGCCTGTTCAGTGAGAGTTTCTATAGGTTACCTGGCTGGGGTGTCCCATCGCTGAATCCTTAGCAGACTCTTCGGGTGTTTCCTCCTGCAGTGGTCATGCCTTCCCAAAGAAGCTTCTTCCAAGACACAGACTTCAGGCTTAGCTTCTGCCATTCTGGTCAGAGAACACTGAAGCTCAGTGTCAGGATAGGCTCCTGCCTTTCTGAGTTCAACCTTCAGTCTGCTTTCTGGGTCCGGGTTAGTCACTTTGGTGTCACTGTGATGAATACCTGACAGAAGCTGCTTGTAGAAGGAAATTTGTTTTGGTTCGTGGTTAGAGAGTTGCAGTCCATATAGCAGGGAGGGTATGGCACAGTGACTCAGTCCATGGTGGAGTGGGGGACAGCAGCTATTCGCATGATGGCAGATCAGGAAGCAGACAGAGCAGGCCCAACTAGGGGCAAGCGTAACCTGCAAAGGCCTAGCCCTAGTGTCCTGTCCCTGCCAGCCAGGCTCCATCAGCCTTGAAAAGAGTGTCACAAGCTGGAGACCAAGCATAAAATATAGGCTTGTGGGAACAGTTTGGATGTGATTGGGTGCATTCAGGGTGGTATGGTTGAGGACTGTGGGAACAGTTGATTTAGACCATAGCAGGGGCACTCAGGGAACACTTTACTTACTAGATTTTCTTCCTTCCTTCCTTCCTTCCTTCCTTCCTTCCTTCCTTCCTTCCTTCCTTTCTTTTTCCTTTACAGGCTTTCTCTGTAACCCCAGCTGACCTGGAATTTCACTATGTAGACCAGGCTGGCCTCGATCTCACAGAGATCCACGTGCCTCTGCCTCTTGAGTGCTGGAATTAAAGGTGTATGATACCATGCCAGTTTAATGGATTAAAGGACACAGATGCACAGTCAGATGTAGAGGCCGTGGGATGGAAGTTCTGTTTAGGTAGGTATGATTATGCTCAGTCTTCCGCCCTCTCCCCCCTGAGAACACTCCAAGTCCTCCCTCTCTCACCAGATGATTGGTTATCCGTGGCAACACACCTTCATCTTAACTAACAAAAACACACTCTTCAGTTGGTCTGAGCCTGGGTCTAATTCTCCACATCATGGCATAAACTTGGTGTGGTGGCACACACTTGTAGCCCTAGCACTGAGGTTTACACCCAGTGTAATCCCTCCACTCAGGAGGTAGAGGAAGAAAGACCAAAAGTTCAAAGGCATCCTCAGCTGTATAGTGAGTTCGAGGCCTGCCTGGACTACATGAGAACCTTTTAAAACAACAAAACCCTCTTATCACTCCAGATTTCAAGGCCTTAGGAGTTCTTTGGGGTTAAATACAGTTATTCCTGTTCTGGTGCACAGGCACAGGTGTGGAGTGAGAGAACTTTCTCCTTGGAGCCCTTTCCAGGCTCTTTCCCTCACTCCCTGCAGAGGCCTTTTTGTCACATTTAAACCACACAATCTGAGCCTTGGGAGGCAGAAGAAGAGAGTGGCTAAAAAGCCAGGATCCATCCCTGTCTGCATGTGTGAGTCCAGCAAACAGCTTCTAGAATCCCCACTGAAACAGGTGAAGGAACACTCCTCTAAGGGTGCTGTAAAGATTCCACAAAATGTGACTGGTGACGATTTAATCATGGTGTCTCACAAGGAGGGTTTGGTAAGTAATTGTAAGTGTGAGTACCAGAGCCTTCACCATGGACTCCAGTAAGCTCACAGAGGGTACACAGCCCCCTTCTCTCACTCATCCATGGATAAGAAGGGTAGATAAAGGCACTTTCTGTTTCAAAGTGCTTTCTTGTCTAGGAAGTATGCCTGCTTCTGGAAACATCCAAAGAGCCTTATGAATCCAAAGGTCTGCCCAGAAACAAGTGATGAGAGCTGCAGGCAGCCAATGGGACTGTGTGAGCCTTTCTACCTGGCTGGGGAGCGTCCCCTCATCCTGTCCGGGGTAAGGCAGCTTTGCCTGAAGGGGGTATTTCCAACTTTGTGGCTTTCACTTCCACATCAACCAGGTGGGTGGAGTTACCTCCTGTGGACCAATCAGATACCTCCCAGCACCAGATTCAAGAGGTGATCCAGGGGCTCAAGGGTTCCAGACACACAGACCAGCAGCAGCAGCAGCAGCAGCAGGAGAAGGAATCGAAGCCATGGAAGACCAGCGTGACCTCATCTCCAACCATGAGCAGGTGCCCATCCTGGGTCAGCGCCCTCGAGCCCAGGAAAGGTATGTGTGAGTACCAGAAAGATCACTCAAATCCCTGAGGGCACAGAACAGACTGGAAGGCTGAGTTGCAGGAAGGCTGCCATGGGGCGCTGACTTTTAGAGTGGTTTGAATAAACCCCTGGTCCTCTAAGGGCTTTGGCTCCCTGTCCAGTAAAACAAGGGGAGCAGAGATTTGTAAGTTTTTTGAGAGCCAGAAGAGGGATCTGGATTCACTCCCCAGAGTTTAAGACCCTCCTGAAGCCGGGCCATGAATCCTAGGTTAGAAAACGCAGACCATGGTGTCCCCCCTTGGAAAGGTTCTTCCTCACTTTTCCTTAATGAACCTGTTTGCTCTGCTACACTTTAGGTTTTGGAAAGGTTCTGATGCCAGTGGAGGAAAACGTTTCTGAAGACAGTAGACACAGCTCTCACAGGAGTTTTCCCATAACTAGCAGGGGAGAAGAGGGCTCCACATTATGGGATTAGCCTTTCTGTGTCTGCAGGGCAAAGGAGCCGGCTGCCATCCTAACAGCTGCCCACAGAGGGAGAAGCAATTCCAGCTACATTTGTGGAAGGGGCTCAGGGCTGCTCTGCATCAGCCCATCTATGAACATCTCAGTCATGGCCATCCAGGGAGTCCTGGGCCCCTGTCCCAGCCTTGTATGCCCCCCTGAAGAGTTTAAACAGGGCTAGGATTCACCTACTTCTTTGTCCTGTTCCCTGCAAGCTCAAAAACCTGATTTGCCACCTGAAGTCAGATGTGATGTCAGCTGCTGCCAGGCAGAAAGGGGCTTGAGAGAGCCTCTCAGGGATGTCACAGGAGCTATGTTCTGGAGGACAGGGTAACCAGATGTGGAGTACAAGAGCAATGGTCTGTGAATATCTGGGGACTCCCAGGGCAAGGTCCTGGTTCTACTGCTGTTGTAGGTGACCTTTGATAAATCACAGCCCCTCTAGGTCCCAGGAATGATACCAACAGCTATGAGAATAGTTCCCATTGACTTTTTACTTTTTACCAGTCCTCATATACTATTGACTATCTCTGTGGTAACCAAATACTAGACTCTATCTTTCTCACTATTACTGTAGCTAGGAATTGGGCATAGTTATCTATATTTTTGCAAAAAGAAAATTGGGCTCTTCTTGGTGAGTAACCTACCCAAGCTATCTTAGCTGGTGAGTGTTGGATACAGCATTTGAACCAGGGCTAGAATGACTGAGTTTATTTCCTTGTCTGGCACCTTTAGAAGCCTCCTTTGTGGGAAGGAAAAGTGGGAGCCGTCCAACTTCAGGGCACACAGTGAGGGTTCAGTGTTCAGAAAGGGTGCCCCCTCCTCGTATCCTTGTCTGGCTTTCTCTTTAGCTCTCTTTACTTCTAAAGCTGGCCAGGCCCTGTGCTCTCAGGCCACTCTAGACTAAGCCTGATGCAGGACCTTTCAAGAACACTTCTGCCTGGCAACATATGTATCACCATTCCTGCTAGTTTTGATTGGTTCTTGACTTTAGCCAATTTTTTTTTTTAATTCCCCAAAAAGGCAGCACAAAAGAGGAAGTAAAAATAGGAGTTGGCATGCTACCAGAGTAAGGGACAGGCATTCCGAGACTTACAAAGGCCTGGGTGTAATGGCTTACACCTGTAATACCAGCACTTGGGAGGTGGAGGCAGAGGGATCAGGAGTTCAAGGCCAGCTTCATCTACATGAGACTACCTCAAAA